TGCTGCCCCTGCCCCGCCGCGCCTGGGGGCACAACAAATGTGCCAAAGTTTCGTCTGACGCAGGGTGAATCTGTCTCAAATCGCAGTGAAGACTCGGGGTTTTTTTCTAATATTTAGTGCACATTTGAGGGCTGATGATTTTTGGTTTTTAAAGTTACTGATCCCTTTGCCTATTGTGTGTTCTGTTTGTAATTGCAATTTCCCACCGTTCGGGGACTGGTGTCTCAGTAAATAACCCTGTCCTTTTGACCTGGACTACAGCTTGAAATCAGTTTGCATTGTGCCAACAGGTTAAAAACGGGAGTGTAATCCTGCTGTTTGTGTTGTTTTCAGATAATTGCTTATCAGCCCTATGGGAAGTCTGTGGATTGGTGGGCATTTGGAGTCCTGCTCTATGAAATGTTAGCTGGCCAGGTAATTGAATTTTAATTGATTCCTATGGGATTGTGTTAAATTCCATTGTGAGCATACGCTGACGTGTAATTTGTTCTGTTGCTGGCACACGACGGGGGGCCATCTCCTCCGTGCTGGAGACAAAGCCGTGGATGCAGCCCCGGGGACTACGATGCTGAGACACGAGTCATCGCTCGGCGCAGCCGGGGCCGGTTTCATGGCTGAGGATCACAGCAGCAGACAAAAGCTCAAAGGTCAAGAAATGCCACTGAGCCTCTGTTTGCTTTGCTCTAGGCTCCCTTCGAGGGAGAAGATGAAGACGAGCTCTTCCAGTCCATCATGGAGCACAACGTAGCCTACCCCAAGTCCATGTCCAAGGAGGCGGTGGCGATCTGCAAAGGGGTAAGGGCTGCCCTGCCGTCTCTGCCAGGAGGGCAAAGTGTGGGCGGTGGGCACGGTGCTGTCCGCGCACCTCCGGCAGCCTGCACTCCGACGGGCGTTGGGGGCCCAACTCCTTCTCGTTGGGGTCCCAACTCCTTCTCGCCCTGGTCCGGGCTGCAGGCTCCCAGCGCCAGGGGAATCTGGCAAAACTCGGTTGTGTTCTGGTGCCTGGGCTCTCTGCTCCTGGAACCACCGCATGTGCTGCTGTGGGTTTGTGTACGAAAACCGGTTGAAACGAACGCCTGGATCCTCTCTGTGCCG